ATGCCCTATCACCAGTGTCAACATTTTCCATGTGAACACAGGGCATATTCACTTTTGCCTTGCCTTTAAGTAAACTGGCATTAAAAATTACCATTCAATTTTGTGTTAGTTCATTTGCTACTGATTTTTAGTCCATGAAATACAAGTTGGAGGAGTTATGTTTATTTATGTGGTCTTCATTCATTTCAGCCTTAGTTAATGATGTGAAAATGGAAACATAATGGACTGGACTCAGTTTAGTTATACTTAGAGTAGACCCATTAAAAACCATAAGTAATGTGTTACTAGTTTCAGGGCTTAATTTAGGTCTAACTAAATCTGGATCCAACACCCTATTATACCCTACTTTTCAGTGCTACAGCTACTTCTTTAACATTAACTATATGTGCATTGCTGGCATAAGAAAAAAACACACTACTCCCATAATGAAATCAATGAAGATATTTGATCATTTCAAAAGATTATTCAAAATGTGTCAAGTATGCATACAGTATGTGTGCACTTGTGCATATGCAACTCTTCTAACAGGAAGGAAAGTTTATTCTTCTCACAAGAAATATAAAAGCTAGTAACATGTAAATGACATTGCCTTTTTTTCCCCTTTCTGTTTTGTACATGACATTTTGATCCCATTGCAGTATGGACATATCAGTGTTACCAAACATATGAGAATGAGTGAAGATAAATGATTTCTAAGTTTTCAAAAATCCTGTAGGAAGATACAGAAAGAGAAATACACTTTTAGAGGTAGGAGGTATCTTTTCTAACCTAGGACCTGAACTGAAGATAGCTCCCTTTCAAACCTAGCAGGAGGAACAATTAATAAAGGAACCCATTAAGGTCTGATTGTTGCTGCTAAAAAGGAAGGTTGAATTTCAGTCCTTTGAAGTAACTGAGAATGATTCAGGCCTCATTACAGAGATATAATCTACATTCATACATTTATGTTAGTGATTCAGATCTATTGGGAGAGATTGAATTCCGTTAAATAGTGCATCTTTCCTCTGCAACTTTTCTCAGGCTTTTTCAGGCTAACCTAAGAGGGAATCTAACAATACAAAATAGTGGGGGTACTTAGGGATTCAGCTCTGCTATAAAAGAAAGGCTATACAGAACCCAGGAAAAAAGGAAGGAGATACAATCTAAAAAGCTACCTCAGCTTTTCATTGGGTCTCTGTTTGGTAAGTGCCCATCCTGTCATCACACAGTATAGAGAAAAAAGAAGCCCATGAGTGTTTCTTCACCAAATATTGCACCTGCTGTAACTGGATTTGATATAATAGTTTCTAAGGATAGTTTTTTTTTTAAGTGAAGCCTTTCATTCATATAATCAAACTAATGTTGCAAATTGGTTCTGCTTAAACCCTTTTGCACAAAGACTAAAATCTGTAGCATTCCTTTAAAAAAAAAGATTTTAAATACCATTAAATGTTCTTCTAAGTACTACTCACCCTCAATAGCAGAGCCTGGAAAAGTTACTTTTAAGACTACTACACACATAATTCCCCACAGCATGGTCTCTAGGAGTTGTTCTCTGAGAAAAGTACTTTTTGAATGCCTTGTCCAATAGATAAACTAAGTTCTGGAGGCTGCAACCTTATGCATGCTAATTCAGAATAATCGAACTTTGTACATCTTACTTCTGAATGCAAAAAGTGTACTGTGAAATAAAAGGGGCTAATAATTAATAATTGAATGACTGACATAAAAAACACTACTTGGAATTTTCTTACGTATGGCACTATAAATTTAATTTAGATTCAGGCCATTGATCAGGTCTACTTGTGAAATTAGGAAGAGGTGCATCTACCAGTTTTATTTTCTCCTACATAAATTTTTTTTAAAAAACCTTCATCAGTTTTGTTAAGAAATGTGGGAATTTTTAGAAGTCTGTACTAAAAAACCAAACAAAATGAAACTCTCAGCTTTCTGCAGTGTTCACATTCACTAAAAATGGAATACAGATACATTTTCATTAGGAAGACAGGGAATTGTGTTATTCTAACCTGTCATGTAGCTGTTAAATTCACCACCAGGTGCATGACTTGAAGACATGGGGATTCTAGACAGGAATGCTCTCAGAACCTTCTGCCTTGATTGGGCCAACGTGTTATTTTCATTTTCTCCAGTATTTGATTTTATAAAAATATCAAGTTCAATTTCATGAAAACATTTGTAAAGTTTGGAAAGGTCAAAAACAAAACAAAAAAACAAAATGCAAATTGCTTGTGCTTAAACAGATTTACACAAAAATAAAATCAATATGCACTTGATTTTTTTTTCAAAACCTCAAATTCAAATTGATAAAGAAATCATAGAATAATGACGTTGGAAGGGACCTATAAGGCGACTGAGTCCAACGTCCTGCTCAAAATCTGTGCATTGTGAAAAAAATTCTTCTCAAACAACAAACCAAAATTGCATACCTCACCATATGCACATCTAGTCAATTGCAACACTGCTATTTGCCCACAACAGAATCAGTATCCCTATCCACATATGAAGCCAGTCTAGACAACTGATGGGAATATCGACAACTACCACATTGCAGAAGCATTTCTGCAGTGGTTTCATATACCCAAGCTTGCTCCATCTGGGTGCCCTGCATGCTAGATTGGGGCATATACGTCTTGAATCTAACCTTTGAGCTACCACACAGTGGACATTTATCACAGGAAGTATTTGCCTGTTATGTGCCATCAAGCTGCCTCCAACTAATGTTGGCCCTAAGACTAGTGACCTCCAAAATATCTTTAACATCCCTGCTGGGGAATCTACCATGAGATTATATCATCTTACTACTAAGATAGTCCATGCATTGTACACAAAGCAACTTATTATATCAGTGAGTAAGATGGATAATAGGAGATATATCCTAATATATAGGTAGAACATATCTTTTGCATGGTACATCCTTAATTGCATACATTTTGTTGCAAACTGTCTAGAGAACTTTCTAACTGAGCAATAAGTAAAGCAAGCAAGAGCCAATGTGGTTTCATGGACAGAGTGATGGATGAAGACAAAGAAGATCTAAGTTCAAATCTCTATAGAAACTGTAAAACCCCTCCTAAAATGTCCCACATATCTTGAAAACCCTGTTATCCTTGCCATAACACATCACACACACACATATACAAATAAGCATATACATTCCTCAAAGTACTTCTTATAAATGTTTCAGGATTCTGGTCAATTCTCCCATGCCAAAAATCTTCTGAGTTCAAATGCAACTCTGTAACTTTTCAAAGCTACGAAGAACAAATATATCAGTGTTTTTAAAAAATGATACAATAAAACACATGGATTCTAGAACTAGACCTCCCCCCCTCAATTTTGGAGGCTTTTCAAATGCCCCCCACTCTGTTCCATAAATTTCAGGCATGAGCCTTTTGCTAACATTATAATAGGAGAAAATTGTTTCTAATTTTCTACTGCAGATTTATCAATATACTCTAAAGCCCAAGCTAATGAATCAATCCAGTCTGAAAACTATTTGCTTTGTATGTATGTTCTGCTAGTCAAGGAAAGATTGATTCCAAATGCACACAATATAATGTCCTGGCTGTTTTTCCACTGCATTCCGTTGATCAGAATTTTATTTTTTAAGCTCACACTTTTTTCTAAACAAGCCCTTCTTTTCAGACAAAGTGAGCCAACTCTTAAGAATAACAACTTTCCCGTAGCATTTCCCTAGGACATGAAACAATAGGTCATTTTCTTACTTCTTGCAATATTTCTATTAACCCAATGAATGATAACACGTACATTTGTGTTGTGTCCCTGCAACTTCTAACCTCCCAACAGTTAACTGCAGGATAATCTGATAAATCCTTAGGGGGGGGGGGAAATCCCAAGGAGACACAGCCTTTCATTCCTTCACTCAAAGGTAGGTGCATAAACTTGGCACATCCTACTCTGAACACATGTTAAATGTTGGCAAGAATATAGATCATCACAGGAAAAACCTAGTATATCTGTCATGATAGCCATTCTGGAAAATGACAGAATGTTCCAGAATGGGAAGGATGATAATAAGTACACCTTCTGTGGAAAATAAATCACTCCCCGCCCTTCAAAAACAATAGATGGTTAAAACAAAGCCCCCAAAAAATCCAAATGGAAAATGTGCCTCTTTCTGCTAAAGGAAATTAATAATTATAAAAAGAAACTGACAGATTTTATGGGCAACACTTTGTAATGCCAGTAACAGCCCTCCTCCCATCTATTTTCCCTCCTCCCTTTTATTTTCTTTTGAAGTCAAAGGTGTGATTCAGTAAATTGAGTCATGTTACCATCAGAAATTTGCCCTCTCAGGGGCTTTATAGCACAGTGAGTTGTGAATGACAAATCATGAGATGCTGAACAGGAAGAAGACTCTTTAAAAATTGTGGTTCTTCCCCTATCTGTCCTTTATTTCAGCAGAAGGCAGAAACCATTGATTGATTCATTACAGTAAATGTAAGAAGGAGAGTGGGGGGAGAAGAGTGGGGATACACAGAAGACCTCCCTGGAAGTCAGCAGAAAGAAGGAAGCAAAGGGAGCTAATTAGGCTACACATGCACACATCTGAATGCTTGCTCGCACTCACACACGCAAGGGGGAGAGAGAGAGAGAGAGAGAGAGAGAGAGAGAGAATCCTTGCAAAGGTTATTTTTTGGATTATAGCTTCTAGCATCTTTCAGCCAGGGTTTCTGGAAGACACAGCCCAAGAAAGTTAACTTTTCCAAACACAGATATATCTGCTGATCGTTTTGTAAGTCCCCTTCTGAGGCTTTGCCTGAATTATATCCTTCTTTTCCCCATCTTACCAAGCCACCTCCTTTCTTCTAGGGGAGGAGAAAGGGGGGGGGGAGAGAAGTCAGCAAACCAACCAGCACCAGGTGGCTCTCAACTGCTGGCTGCCAAAAAAATAAAATAAAAAATCCTTCTCTAGAAAACAAGTTTTTAGAGAGGTTGAAAAAAAGAAAAGAAGGAGAAGGGGGGAGAAGGAGGGGGCACCCTAAAGGGGATTGGCTGAGTCTACAAGACAGGGAAATTAGTAAAGCATGCCAAATGCTGGTGGCCAGAAGTACTGCTTGTGGAGCAATTAGCTGAAGGCTGCTGTTGCTGCTGCTGCAACAGGAGAGGAAGCAGGGAGTGGGGGGGAAGGCAGATCCTGGTGGAGTCTCTCTCTCTCCCCTTCTCTCTCAGCAGGCGCAACTTGCAAAAGGGTTTCAGATGTCCCAGCACCGCTGCTTGACCCCCTGGAAATAAAACTTGACCACCAGAGGCACGTCTCACCTCTCCGCTTTCTAATCTCTACCATTTAGGATACAGCTTTCCAACCTGCTGGCCACGCAAAGGAGAAAGGGGAGGAAAGGACTGGGTTGATCTCTCTCGCTCACTCACTCACTCCAGCCAACTTTTACTTTTTCACTGCATCATATATCTATCGGGAGGATCCAAGGAAGGAGAGAGAGAGAAAAAAAAGGACACCACTGCCTTCTCTCCTGTCCCTGAGAAGACCTGCGTTTCTGGCTGGACTTTGGTGAGAACAAGGTGCAGGAGCTCTCAAGGGAAAGGGCAAGCCTTCCTCTCCTCCCGCCCCGTCTGACCCATCGGTTCGGATTTTATTAGGATTGATCAAAAAGAGAGAAAGCCACCTTTTAAAAAAACCCCTTTCTGCCTTTTTTTTTGGGGGGGGGCTGCTTCAAGTGTTGTCTGTTGCTCCCTCTCGCCTGTCATCCCTTTCGCAGACTCTCCCCCCTGCCCGTTTCTCTCTCGCTCACTCGCTCTCACTCTCTGGAAGATGATGCAGGACAGCGTGAGGAAAGAGAGGGCGAAGTAGCCTCGCGAAGCGACGACGACAGCCTTCGCCGCCACCCCGGGAGCCGGTGTTTGGGGGTTTGTTTTTTCCGTCGTATGAAAGGCGAAGAGGGGGGTGGGGTGGGAAGAGCCGCGAATTGGCCACCCCGTCAGCCGCCCAGCAAGCCGTGAGGCAACCCCAGACTTGTATTCCTTCATACAGACAAATAGAGTTGTCTTTCCACAAGGGACCGAAGGAAAGGTAGGGAAGGGGAGAGAAGCCGAAGGAGGACGAGGAGCCGGCCGGCCAGTCAGCCAAGCCGCCGGTTCGCTAGCCGGGGCAACGTGTTGGAGGCGGCGGCGGCGGCGGCGGCGGCGGTGAGGGGAACGCCGCCGCGCTTTCGGGAAAGCCCGGCCCCCTGAGGCATGGATGTCGGCGCCCTCCCGTCAGGCCAGCACGCCGCCGCGCCGAGGGCTTTGAGCAGGAGCGCACCTCACCAGCTGTCCGCGCGCCTCTCCCCGGGCTTCCCCCTTCCAGTATGTTTCTTTTCGTGAGGCATCTCCCCGCGCCCAGAGCTTCAGTACAATGTGCAAATGGAGACTGATACAGGGTGCCTCCGCCTCTGCCCACCTGCCTTCCTCCTCCTCCTCCTCCTCTTCCTCCTCCTCTTCCTCTCGCCGGTGCCGCTGCGTCGTCCTGCTGCTGCTCTGTCTGGTGATGTCGTCTCTGGCTGTCCCTTGCCCTGAGCGCGGCCGGGACATGCTGCGCCTCAGAGCCACCAACTCGTCGTCGTCGTTGTCGTTGTCGGCGGCGGCGGCTGCTGCTGCTGCTTCCTCTTCCTCCTCCTCCTCCTCTTCCTCCTCTCCCGCCAGTGTGGGGAGACACGTGCGGAGCTACGAGCACCTCCGCGGAGACGTGCGCTGGAGGAAGCTCTATTGCCACAACAAGTTCTTCCTTCGGATCGAGAAGAACGGCAACGTCAGCGGCACCAAGAAGGACAACTGCCCCTACAGTAAGTACCGGCCGTCTCTTTCTGGAAACTTCTTCCCGCGGCCCCCTGCGGCGTGGACATGAAGGGGCTGGACGCTCAAGCCCCAACGCCCGCGGAGAGCGCTTTGCCCATGCTCAGAGACTCTCTCGCCGTGGGGGGAGGGGGTGCGCGCGCGGGAAGGGGACGAGGTTCTTAGACGGGGTGTGACCGGGCTGAGACTGACTGACGAAGCCCCAAATATTAACCTTGTGTGGATTTTTAATTTTTTGAGGATGGAGGAGGTGGTCCCTTTCCTTCCGCCTTCGCACTTATTTCTCCTCAGAAATTATGTTCTGGTCCCCTCCCCCCCCCGCGCGCCCAAATATTCCACATTCAAATATTGGGCGCTTTATGTGGGCAAGTCCGTTTCTGGCTGGGTAGGAGCGGGACTCCTTCGGCGAGGCGAGCAGGGAGGGAAGAGAAAGGGAGCAGCGACGGGTCGTATGTTTCTTTCTCTGCTTTTCCTCAAACATCGGGGTTTCTGACTCGCAGTGTGAACGCGCCCTTTCCCTCCTCCTTCCCCCCCCCCCC